GGAGGGGGAATGAACTGGGGGGGCGGGCACGGATCTGGGGACAGGCACGGGGATTTGGGGACACCCACAGGGATTTGGGGACACACAGATTGAGGGGACAGATACAGATTTGGGGACATGTACAGAGATTTGGGGACACACAGGCATTTGGGGACACACACACAGATTTGGGGACACAGGCAGATTTGGGGACACGCACACAGATCTGGGGACACACAGGGATTTGGGGACACTGACAGGGATTTGGGGACAGACACACAGATTTGGGGACGCACACACAGAGATTTGGGGACACACAGGGATTTGGGGACACACACACAGATCTGGGGACACAGAGGGACTGGGGTCACACACGGCTTGGGAAGGACACGTGGATTGTGGGGGATTGGGAGGCCACACTTTGGGGTCACTCTGGGTTAGGGACACACACAGTTCGGGGGGACACGTGCAGGGGGGGGTCTCTGATGCCCTGCTGTCACCCCGGCAGGCTCCGGGGACATGGATGGGCTGCCAAAGGTGAGCTGGGGACCCCGGGACCCCCACGGTGCTGCCACCCCCTTTATCGGGGTCCCCCCTGTCCTGGCACCTCCCTTTAGTGGGAATCTCCATGGACTGGGACCCCCCCCATGCACTGGATCCCCCCCATTTACTGGGACCCCCAGTAAATGCACTGGGAGCCCCCCACCTCTATTGGGACCCCATTTATTTGGGTTCCCCCATATGCTGGGACCACCCTGTTTATTGGGACCCCATTTATTCCCCCCCCCCCTTTTTCGGGGCTCCCCACCCCCTTTTTTTATTGGAACCCCATTTATTCCTCCCCCCCTATTTACTGGGGCCCCCCCCCCATTTTTTGGGACCCCATTTATTTGGGTTTCCCCATTTACTGGGTTCTTCCCCATTTATTGAGACCCCATTTATTTCCCCCCCCCATTTACTGGGAACCCCCCCCCATTTATTTGGGTTCTCCCATATTCTGGGACCACCCTGTTTATTGGAACCCCATTTATTCCTCCCCCCCTATTTACTGGGGCCCCCCCCCCATTTTTTGGGACCCCATTTATTTGGGTTTCCCCATTTACTGGGTTCTTCCCCATTTATTGAGACCCCATTTATTTCCCCCCCCCATTTACTGGGAACCCCCCCCCATTTATTTGGGTTCTCCCATATTCTGGGACCCCCCATTTATTAAGCCCCCATTTATTCCCCCCCCCAACATGGACTGGGACCCCCCATTTACTGGGACCACCCCCCATTTATTTGGGTTCCCCCATGTACTGGGACCCCCCCATTTATTGGGATCCTATTTATTTGGGTTTCCCCATATGCTGGGACCACCCTGTTTATTGGGACCCCATTTATTCCCCCCCCATTTACTGGGACCACCCCCCATTTATTTGGGTTCCCCCATGTACTGGGACCCCCCCATTTATTGGGATCCTATTTATTTGGGTTTCCCCATATGCTGGGACCACCCTGTTTATTGGGACCCCATTTATTCCCCCCCCATTTACTGGGACCACCCCCCATTTATTTGGGTTCCCTCACTTATTTGTGTTCCCCCAATTTATTGGGACCCCATTCCCCCCCCCCCTCCACAATCT